TCCACCAGGACACCCAGGTCCCTCTCTGCAGAGCTCCTCTCCAGCAGTTCATCCCCCAGCCTGTACTGGTGCATGCAATTATTCCTCACATAATAATATAGTCATTTGCTAAAGTTTACCTTCCTGAAATGTGTTAAGAATATTTTACCTGTAACTGCCCATATGATAAACTGCAGCTATTATTCTTATTATTAGTTTTGTTAAATATTTCTTTTACAGAATATTTCATACTGAATGTAATTCAGAACTTTTTAATATTGAATTTATAATTTTCATTAGTCTGCATAATAACCAAAATTTTGCTTAATACTTAACTGTATTGGTGGATTTATAATGGAAAAAATATATAATTTCAGTGTCGTAAAAAGGAGTTTCTAATCTCTAGAGTCTCTTGGTGCTGGCTCTCACTTTTGCGCAATTACGTTGTGTTATACTGCACTATAACTTTCTTCATGTTCTACCTCTCTACTACTTAAACAATGTGCACTCAATATTCCTTCATAAAGAGAAAGAAATTATTGACATAAAATATTTAGATAATACAACATTCAAAACAGCATGCAAAAGAACCCATATGATATGCAATCCACAGATGAGCTATCATCTACATTTTTAGTGCAGCAAGCATCTTGGGTTCAGGATAATAGCATTTTAATTTCAAAAAAAAAAAAAAAAAAAAAATTCTTCTTGAAATTGTTTCATGTCTCTGAGGTTTGTATCCTTACTGTACCTAAGTGGAATGTTAAATACCAACCTTGGCAACCTTATTTATGGTCATTTTAAAGTCAGGGAATAGAAGAGAGATAGAAAAGGAGGAACTGTTGCTGGAGGAAGAAAAAGGCAAGTAGGGAGGAAGGAAAGAAGACAAAAAATGAGACATTTCTACTTGTTCATGCCTACATTTAGGCTGGACTGTATTTCCAGATTTTATCTGTTGCCTCAATTCTACTTTTCAGAAATCTCAGGTGGTGTAACATGGGAAGAACAGAATCTACAGTGTTACTAGTAGAGAAGGCTGCAGTGCAATAATGTAATATGTAGAAATTTTTTTTAGGTTTCTTAGAATTGATTGTTAGGTGTTAGCATGACAATATCCATAGTTCTTTTTTCTCTCCTTGTGATATAACTTGCTAGCAGCTGCAGTGAATCACACTGGGTTTTCCCTCATATTCTGGGAAATCTCACTTTCAGGAAGCATTAACTAAGCTGATATAGTACGGAGCCAGACAAAGCTTTGCTACTTGCAGCTAAGTTTTGATGCTGACTGTAATGTTAACCAGCAAAAAGAAGGTACTCTCTCACAGTAGGTAATTTGATGTGCATCCTTGGGTACTTTGCAACATGCTGCCAATGTTAGCTCCTTTGAATACAAGTGAATGGAATTTCAGGCTAAGTAAAGCTTCATTACGTTTTTGGCAGCTTCTTTTACGTGTGGAAGCTGATGTTTAAAATTTTGTTCTTTAATTGACCAAAAATAACAATAAAAGAGGTAGCACTTAGTATTTAATTGTATAACCATTTGCAATATTTTTGTTTTTTTTTTTTTCTCACAGACTTTCAAGAGGGAGCTGAAAACAAAAGAACCTGTCATCATGAGTGCACTTGAGACTGTGAGGCTCTTCCTGGCAGATCAGCCAGCGGAGGGACTGGAGAAGGTCTATCCAGAACCAAGAGGTAACTGAAGAGAGAGCTGCTAGAAAGATCATTAATGATCAGTGATGATTAAATAAATTCTGCCAGCCACTGTGAGAGCATTCCTTTTACACTCCAAGCTCAATCTCAGTATTCAGAAACAGAGCTAAAAATACAGATGGAAGAAACCCTTAGTGATGCTTTTGAACAGTGTGGAACTAAATAGACATTCGTATTTATAAGTAGATAGTGAAACTGGCTTTAAATCTTCTGGATGTATCCAGAACTGTAGTCCCATTTGAGATCTGAAAGCTACAGTTCAAACCTGAATTTAACTTACAGCCTAAGTATTTCAGAACTATGTCATTTGTTTAGTGATCATGTATGAAACAAAAACAAGAGAAATCAGTACAGCAAAGCCCCCAAATCCACTCAGTTGCAGTGATTCACAGTGATTAATATTTATGTACGTGCAGGACTTCTTCACTGAATCAGGATACAGCAAGGTGTAGCTACAAGTTTAAAATGCCATTACATAAACGTGTGGGTTTTTTATCAGTATTGGGGAAAAAATGGATTTGAGAGGTTTACAAATAAAAACACATATAAAATAAATTTTATTTGTCATTGATTTTGAATAGTTTCTAAATAAGCCTTGAACTTTTTAGGCTTACCCAGATGGCAAGTTTTTTTTTTTTTGTATGACAGAGTACATCCTAAAATTCTCTCAACTTTTATATTTAGAGCTATCACCTGAGGAGAGGGCTCAGAATTTCACTAAAGTTCTCCGAAGGCAAGCAGATGATGTCAGAACTGAGTGGGATAAGCTAAATCTACGTTCTGCTGATTGGCAAAAGAAGATAGATGATGCTCTTGAAAGGCTGCAGGGCCTTCAGGAAGCGATGGATGAACTGGACCTGAAACTGCGCCAGGCTGAAGCGTTCAAGGGATCCTGGCAGCCAGTGGGGGATCTGCTGATTGACTCTCTGCAGGATCACTTAGAAAAAGTCAAGGTATGTGTTGTTAAATCAGCATTTTTGAATATGAGATGATTGGCTAGGTCATCAGGAATTAACTTGTATAATGAGAAGTGGATTGGTTTGTATCATAGTGATTTATTTATTTATTTATTTTAAAAGTTTTGGTTTTTTTTTAATTGCTGCAATTAAAACAAAGTGGAACCAACACTGAGAGTACATATTGCTAATGCATATGAAAGTGCTCTGCAGGAATGCGCAAATATCCTCAGCACATTTAATTCTTAATTCAGGAAATGCAGAGTTAGCATTGAAGACAACAAAATATAGTAGATAGGAGAATACATGAGGAAGGTAAACAAACTAATTCTGTTGTTTATTATAGTTTTGCAAGCATGATAAGAGCATAATTGCATCTGTTCTTATAGAGCAGAAATAATTTAAAGTATATGGTTATGTTGTTTTTTTTTTGTCATGATGGTGGCATTTGCTATCTGTCTTATAAGTAGACTCCACACCTAAGATAGTTTTAAAACAAAAAAAACTGCCTGGAAAAAAAAAGTATGATTCAGAAAATCACCACTTACTGAAAAACTCATAAGGATTTGTCCTTTTTCTTCATGACTGACAGGGCCAGGCTTTATAAATACTGCTGGATTCCTTCATCTAGAGTGCAATAGAGGCGGTTGCCATTTTGATAAGAACAAAGTGCCTCTGTTCCAGTCTCATAAATGGGAATCATTCGTCATTTTGAAAGAGACCTGAGCTGACTGTTATTTTCTCTTCCAGAACATTAGGATCTAAGAAAGAAGAAATAGAATGACTAATGACATGCAAAGAAATGCCTTTAAAAATCAAATGTAGTTTTCAAAAAGTAAAAAATTAGAATTATCCTTAAGTTTTAATGATATAGAAGTTTTAATGAGTATCCTGCATAAATATTGTGCAAGACAAAGGAAGTAGCTGATGGGCAGTTGGCTGAATAATTTGTTTTTCTTCAGCTAAACTCATAAATGAACAGAAGAGATCTATTTATAAATTCTCAGAATGTGCCATCTATTATACCCATAGATTCATTTTTTAATCTCTTGTATTGCTAGAAAACAAAGCAAGTTACTTAATTCTAAAGCTGCGACCATAAAGCTTCAACTTTGTAATTACAGTGCAGAATCCTACTACAGTTCAGTCCTGGAGGACAGAATAGAATTTCAGTAACAGCCATCATAAAATAGGACTCCTAAAACTTATGCAAAACTTGAGTGGACACCTCATTGTTTGCTCTGAGGTGTTAGTATTAGGCAGAAACAAAAAATTCTGCTTGAAGATTTAAGATCAGATGTTACCATCTACATTCTGGTTTCATCTCATTTGTACCGTATTTACTTAAAATATTTTTTTCGTGGGCTATTGTAAATCCATAACAACATCAGGCAAACAGTAAATGAAGAAACAGAGAATATTCATATCCTTGCAAGCTATACTTTTTCATATCATATATATGACAGAGAGTACTCAAATGGTACTGCACTTTCAACAGCTTCTAAATGATAATTAGTACCATTTAGGTAATGCAGGAACATAGTAGGGCAACAGTTGAATGACATTAACTCTGTGACTGCTACAGTTATTGCTCCCCAAAGTGCTGTCTTGAAAACATTCATTACTCTAATGTAATAATATAATAATAATAATTCCAAAACAGATCCTGAAGATAGATGCATATACTCACTTGGCAGTGTAAGTATGTTTGTGTTAGGAAAAACCATCAAGAAGGCTACCATTGTGCCTGCCATTTAAAAACTGTCCTTTTAAATTAACAAATATATGTTTTGCATCAGTTGTTCATATTTATGACATCCTTTCTTTTCTTAGAGTGAAATCTGTTTTTGAAAAGTCATAATCAGCAGTAATAAATTATGCAACTCTAAAACAGAGTATTTAAATTATTTAAAATTTTCTAGTTTGTATTTGCTACATGCAAGCTAACTAGGCAATAGAAACTTTGATCTTGGTTCTTCCCATTCTTAGTGCATCTAAGTAAGGTGTACAAATATTAAAATATACTCACAGCCATAGCCTTAATTTGTGGCTTTAATTTTTGCAAAACCTGGAAGAGAGGGTTTAGTTAAAGAGCATGCATTACCTGTGACAGTAGCCACAGCAAGAAATGAAATTTTTTTCTATATTTGTTACACTGATTTCAGACTATTTTTATATTGACATATTTGTTAATTAAATTCATTTCTGATTTATGCCCTGTCTTGATAAGTTTAGATATTACCATTATTACTATCTCAATACCTTTCTACAAAATGTAGTGGACTCTCCATAAGACTTTAATAGCTACACAAGAAGTCAAAATTTCAATAACAGCATTACATTCGTAGTTATTTGCAAGAAGAATTGTTGTTCTGAGAGGAAAATCAAATTACTGAAAGAATTGTTAGTCTGATGCCTGAAAGTCTTAGTAAGATTAGGGAAGCTATATGGAAACATTCATGAAAATAGTCTGTAGAAGTGAGTCAAAGCAACAGTCAGATGAGCAACAGCGTCTGTTTTGGCTGTGCTACAGAAATGAGCTCCTAGTCTAAAGTAGAGGTATTTCAGTGAAGACTGAAGGAACAAGAGAGATTTCTGGTACAAGGACAAGTGGAAGGAGAGGGAAGTAAGCTCCAAACTGCACAGCACTGAATTGATTCCATTTTAGCTTGTTCTTTCTGTCTACATACCCAGCCCTTGACTCCAAAACTCCACTAGTCTCCCAAAGTAGCATACATGTTTAAGAATGAAAAATAAGTTAAAAACTATTGTATAATTTCTAATGTACAGTTCTAAAATGTGCTTTATTATTTGTGAGGATCACTGAGGATCACTGGGAAGCCTGCCTCAAATCTGCAGGAGATTGTAGTTGCCTTTGATATCTCCTATTTGGCCTGCACATGGGAAGTTGGATTAACACACACCTGATTACTGCTGTTTTCATCTTGATGCTTGCTTTCTTCTTAGTAATTGATTTTTGTAATGTTTAAACACTTTTGCTTTGCAAAAGTTTGGGTTAAAAAGCTGAGTTTGCTGAAGAAAACAGTTTATATGATCTGTTAAAGCTATTTTTAAACAAAAAAGATTTCTCATTGTAAATATTATCAGTCAAACATTATCAAACTAATATATATTACATTTCTCATCTTTGCTGGCTTTTTTATGATGTGTTTTTTAAAGACAATGACTGATGATATTACAGTGCAAGGTAAAATACCTGTTACCTGCTATACATCTAAACACCCCAAATATCTTCTGAGCAGATCTGAATATTGGTCACATAGGCTATTGTGATTGCATTTCTTGTGAATCATTCTCATGATGGAGATCACAGAAGCCTTCTTAATCCTAAACTGATAAATAGCTTCCTAGGGAATAAGTTCCCCTAGTGCCATTTGTCACTGTTCTTTTTAGTCTTAGTTGCTGGAGCTATTAAGGTCATGGTGTGATGTCAAACTCACACAGAATAACTAGTCTTTGATCAGCATTACTGCCTTATTATCACAGATCCTGGGTCTATATTAGTGTAACAACTGGTATTTGGATCTAGTTCTGAGGACAGGATATCAATAGTTTGATACTTCCACACAATAATCAAAATAAATTCATAGCTCTGTACTTCTCTGTCCTCTGTTAGTCTCCTTTTTTTCTTCTCACAGATAGGTGATCTGAGGACTGAAAAGCAACTTTCTTAATAAAACATGTTCTTTCTCTCACTCTTCCAAGCATGTCTTCCTGTCCACTAAATTTGAATTGTCATTTGGACACCTCAAATTCAGTTCCAAGCCCAAATTAACCTGTTAATTGTACCCTAATATCCATTGGCTGCTCATTTTGATTGTAGCTCATGGGTTTTTTTTTTGGATTTTGCTTGTTTCTGCTACAAATTCAACACGTGCTTTCTTCTCACAATAAATAGCTCATTTTCTGCAGTATGCCTGTAACACTTAATTTCACATCAGACCACAGCACAGATTTTATACTAAGCTTTTCCAAGTTCTGATACATGCAATTATACCTGTCTCATCCATTCAGTACCCTTTCCATTTCCAATGGCAGCAGGGCCACTTTTCCTCTCTCCCCAAAAGATGCTCCTTTCCTCTGATAACAAACAAAAGCTTGATAGCGGTTATGCTATTATTAGTGTGCAACAGTAATTACCTGCCATACCAATACCTTCTCACTGACTTATAGTCTGTAGTCAGCTGATAAGAAATACCAGCAGCAGTGAATGCTGTTGATTTTTAAGGGAACCCTGATGACATTTTGGATTTTAATACTTTCAGACTCCGAAAAATTTTCTGAAAACTCAAAGCTACTCTTTTGGGATGCTGTGCCCAGAATTTTGTGACTAAGAAGTCAATATAATTTTAGTGTTGCAGTTTGTCTCTTGCTAAAAGTAGTTCAGCTCCTCCAACATGCTTGAGAGCACAATGCAAAGTGCTTTCTCATGTCTTAGTGTTATCTGCTTCATCACTGACAGCGTGGAACGTATCCAGGTCAGTTTCCTGTCATACGTAATAAGTGAACAGCATAGCCTTTGGACTCTGAATTTCTTTCAACCACTTGGATGTAAACAAGATGTAGCTCCTCTTGTTCCAGGCAGAAGCATGGTTCAAAAAGCACACCCACCAATTAAGAGCTGAATTGCGTAGCCCTATTTTCAGTAACTCGTTCTACTAGAGACCGATTTGTTCTCCTTTATTGTCAAATGAAGAGGATGCCATGATTCAATATGGAAATTGTTAACGGTAAAAAGCAGAGCAGAATTTAGTGCTGTAGGCCTTTTATTTTCTTGTGAGCAGTTTTCATGCAAATCTGAATCTTGCTCCTTAAGAACTGGTTGTAGTTGTTGTGGTTTCACTTCTACAGCTATGGACATAGCACCTTCACAGAAACACTAGGAACTTTGCATATACATTATGAATTATAATATATTTAACGTAAGTGTATCCATAGAGTTTGTAAGTATTCCTTTTAATCATTTTTTCTCACAA